ACCCAGAATTTTTAACTGTACTGTATCTCCTCCTAGGGCTTTAATGCTACAAGCACCAAACTCTGCAGAGAACTTGGACCTCATCTGTAGTTTGTTGCTATATCTTTTCTAACTTATCGGACTTACAGTTTTCTTATAAATAATTATCAAAAATCAAAAATTTCCCATAGACTTAAAAATGCCCCGTCTAAAAGACAATTGCAGTCCACTAGAGGGAGCCACAGGATAAGAAATCTTTCAACTCTCATTTACTTTCGTTTTCAATTAGGTAAATTTACAAATAAATGCATGCATTTCCTTTATGCTCCCAAGCAAAGCTAACATATTTGATCGTGACCAGGTCAGGACTCGAGAATAATGACTGTCTGATGGGAAAAAACGCTCGGGACAGATGATCTGTCACTGCTCCCATTGGGGCAATGCTGCCTCCTCGCAAAACTTTATCATTTGCATGTTTTTCACAACGTTTTATGCCTTGCAAATTACATTAAATTAACATGAAAGAACTCTATTCAGTGCTTACAAGCTGTTTTGTGCGACAGAGAGCCACGTCCTTGCGGCCCTAGGCCCGTTCACTTTCGCTTCTTCTAGCGCTTGAACGGACATACACATACAAAATCATGTCAAAATACATGACATCATGGCCAATATCATCGAAAACAGTCGTTTATGACTCAAGTGAACAAATTATTGAGAAATAAATAGGATGTGGATCATTAGCTATTAGATTCGTGCATTAAAGCAACCGCATTTACCAGCTGCTGTCTGTCTTTTAATGACATCAATCCTTTGCTGTTACAGTTACGGTTAATAATAACATATATGCTACGTTTACTTACCAGGTAACGTTAAGATATAGCTTGGTTTTCTGTACCGCGCAGGATAGTAGCAGTCTCATCTGGCTCATTTTCTGTAGTTTCTGTAATGTTAACGTTCGTTTCATCTGCTGCAGCTTCAGGGACAGGCTTACGAAAACACTGAAAGAGTGTAGTATAAGTTTGCTTTGGGTTCACATCTCCTTTAGTGATTCACATTATAGTCAGTTTAAAACTTGCGTCTTGCGTACACTCGATGCTGCGCAAGAGTTGCGCAATTGCACTGATCGTCAACAGAAACATGGCTGATTTTCAAATAGTCAGTGCTTCGCATTCGCAACACAGACGGGGTGAATTTATGAATGAACGTGTGAAAGTTCTGTCACAAAACGATGTTGTTTTGTATCTTCGCGCTTTTTTAAGTGGGTATATGGAAATACTCGACCTTAGTGGGTATACGGCTTATCACGTAGACTACACCACTGTATGTATGCATATATGTACAAGCAAAATTTATTGATACTGTATCAGTTTTGCATTTTAATTTTAATTTTGATGCTCAGTGATTATGTTCATACTGAAAAGCAAATGAACAAATCTGTGCTGCATATAAATATGTTTTTTGAATGACATAGTGGAAAAGAAATAAGGCAAATAGAAAGTAATATTTCTTTAATCTGTGATTTGGCTAATAAAAACATTTTGATTAAGAAACATTTTTTTTTTTTTTTTAATTATCAAATTAAATGATCTATTATT